CATTTTTTTGCTTCGTGCCGAGACAGCGGGACGAAACGGGCGGCCACCATTAATTTCCGGACATCGCGCATGTGCGCGGGGATTTTTTTTTTCAGCGTTTAGTTTTTATCCGGGTCACTCTCGGCCCTTAAAAAAATGCAAAACGGATCGGATCACTTCAAGACAGTCGCGCGATGCCGAGGCAACGTTTGACAGACAACGGGAGTGACACGGCGAGGTTTTTCAGGCCTTGCTTAAAAATCCAGGCACTCCGGGCATTTTTTTGCTTCGTGCCGCGACAGCGGGACGAAGCGGGCGGACACCATTAATTTCAAGACATCGCGCATGTGCACGGGGATTTTTTTTGATGTGGCTTGACATCCTCTTCCCAAGACGATGCATGTATAATCTACGATCAATTTGACGAAAGAATTTAACACACGTCATCGATTAGTTCTACCAACAGTTAACATTAGCATTACTACACCTTGTGACGAATGGTTTATTCATAAAGGTACCATGCTTCATCCATCCGCCCCCCCTCATCACGTTATGTCTTGTGTCTTGTTGCAACTGTCATATGCTTGATGTGCAGGGAATTTTTTTCTCCTAGACTTAAATTATCCTCAGAAGAGGATAGTTCGCGCATGGTTTTTTTATCCCCTCCTTCCCTAGTGTTTACTTTTCTCATCTAAGATCTCGGGGCGCTGTACTTACGGCGATTACCGACAGGCCCTTCGCACTGTATCCCATGTTCGTCTTTGTTTTTCATGTTTCTTGTGCAAAGCGTGCCTGTTAAGTCCAATTACCCCATGGGGATGAATAAAGTTTTCTGAATCTGAATCAACTACTGCACTAAAACATTAATTCATAAATGTATATCATATGATTTTATTTCTTTTTCTCAGTATAAATAACACGTACCCTGACTGTTCTACTCTTTGAATAAAATCACTTCATTCAAGCGTTAGTGAGTGCAAAGTGTTATGATGGAGGGGTGTTGCAAATCATGAGGACCTGCCAAGTGGTATGATAGCATTGTTTTATACATGTCCTTGGCTAGGCCTCAGTTTCAAAATCAGTCCTTGGTCCTTGGCCTTGGCCGCGGAAGCAAGTCCTTGGTCCTTGGCCTCGGAAAATTTTCAAGTCCTTGGCCTTGGCCTTGCCTCGGAAAATTTTCCAAGTCCTTGGCCTTGGCCTCGGAGGCAAGTCCTTGGCCTTGGCCTCGGGTTGCCGGTCCTTGGACACAACACTGGTGTCTAGATAGGTAGATATGTGTGTCTCAAAAGTGCACAAAAAATGGAAGACAATTTCACTTTAACATTGCTCAAGATAGGTTGGCTACATGAAAAGGAGATCTTGTGTCAAAGGTTGGGCACCCCATCACCCATGATCTTGCATTGTTGCCACTAATCTGTTCTCATGAAATTCATTGAGGGTTTTGTATGTTTTATTTTAAATTGGTTAAAAGAAATTGCTGTGCTTGCCTTTATTTTTTTTCTTTCTCTTTTTCAAGATAAACGGCAAGCATGTCGAAAGGACCAGCTGTTGGTATTGATCTGGGGACCACCTACTCCTGTGTTGGTGTATTCCAGCATGGAAAAGTTGAAATCATTGCAAATGACCAAGGAAACAGGACCACACCTAGTTATGTGGCCTTCACAGACACCGAGAGGCTGATAGGTGATGCAGCCAAGAATCAGGTTGCAATGAACCCCACCAACACAGTCTTTGGTAAGTAAAGTACACCTGGTGTTCTTGCATCTTCCCCTCAATATTTTATGCAATCTTTGGTAAGAGCGGAATGATTATGGAATAAATAAATATTCTATCACATTATAGGCTATTTTATGTCAATAATATACAATGAGCTGGTTAGTTATTTTATAAAAAAAATAAATAATGGAAGTGTCACTGTACATGACATATTTTTGCACAAATGTGGCATCTGAAGAGGCATTAAAAATGTTTCTAATTGGTTAATAAGGAAAGCTCTGCTGTAGTGTGATTTTTAAGAACATTATGCAGGTCTCAAAAGTCAAAAGGAAAACTCAGGACTGTACAGTGAAAGCAAATAATCTTCATGATATTATCTTCATCCATTATCTGAAGTCCAGAGTCGGAATCAAACCATGACCTGCAGTGTATACCTTAGTGTTCTTAGCATTTTCTCTTTAAAATTTTTTTAACAAGTTACAATAGTAGGGATATCACTATTGAATTGACACTCCCAATGACTCAAACAAAATAAGTTATCTGGTAAACTATCCCAAACAAAATCACTTTGGTGACCCCTGACAAGCTCTACCCCGTAACAGGGAAAATATCAGACTGCAGTGTCAACTTTCAATCGATAGAGGGTGCAAGTAGACTGAAACGTGCATGAGTCGTTTAGATGAGTGGCTCTTAACTCAAAAATATTCTTGACACGATGTTCTATGTATCTTGAGTAGTATAAACATGGCATTCTGCTTAAATTGTGTTTGTAGAATAAGAATCAAGCAGCAAAATCCGCCTGTTTTGATCCATCTCATGGGGTGGCCATTTTGCCACATGCTGTTGACCGATAATGACTGATCGCGGCTCAGCAGTTTTCTTAGTTTGGTCATCGGATGTTTGCCAGCTGAGCCATGATTGGCCGCAAGTGGCAAATGGATAAAAACAGGTGGATTTTGCTGTATAATTAATGTTCCACCAACGCAGGAATAATCGTAATACTTTTAGACTAGTGGGCCAATGTAGAACATTATTATTGTCATGAAAATTTTCCTGAGTTGACTTCTCCTTTTATGACTTTAGGCCCAATTTTTTTCTGTACAGGCTCATGTGTATTAATGTGCGTGAGCACATCTGGTACTTTTTTTCTTTTTCCTTATTCGCTCTTGCCACTGAAGTGATTTCAGTTTCCCCTATATAGTTCGATTATAGCGTATCTAATATGATTCCCGCACCTTTTTTTTTCCTACAGATGCCAAGCGATTAATTGGCCGCAGGTTTGATGATTCAGTTGTACAATCTGATATGAAACACTGGCCATTTATCGTTGTTGATGACAACACTCGCCCAAAAGTTCAAGTTGAGTACAAGGGTGAGACAAAGTCCTTCTACCCAGAGGAGATCTCCTCAATGGTGCTGACAAAGATGAAGGAGATTGCTGAAGCTTATCTTGGAAAAGTAAGTCGACAAGCAGTTGTGTGTGTGTGTTTATATATGAAAACTGTTTTGTAAATGGACTCATTTTCGCTTTGTTTACAGTCCGTCAACAATGCTGTTATTACGGTGCCCGCCTACTTCAATGATTCCCAACGCCAGGCTACAAAAGATGCAGGAACAATCTCTGGGCTCAATGTTCTGCGTATCATCAATGAACCAACTGCAGCTGCTATCGCATATGGCTTGGACAAAAAAGTAAGTTAGTTTCATGTACTACTAAGACGAGATATTTAATGTTCAAACTGATCAACTTTATTGTTGGTAAATAATCATCAACTTAGAATATTATGAATTCCAACACTTTCCAAAAAGATGGGACAGGTTCTTCATCACCTTTTCTTTGAACAACATTCAATAAACTTTTGAGATCTGAGGACAATAATCGTTGAAGCTTTTGAGGTGGAATTCTATCCCCTTCTTACTTGACCTGCAGCTGTTCCAACAGGCATCTCCATTGTCGAATTTTACACTTCAAAATTCACCGCACGTTTTCAATGGGAGACAGGTCGGGACTACAGGCAGACCATTCTAGTACTTGCTCTCTTTTACTACGTAGCACATGCATAATGTAGTTTTGTTCATGATAATTTGCAGAAAACAATCAAGTTTATCAGTTTGAACATTAAATATCATGTCATTGTAGTGTTCAATTAAATGAACATTTGCAAATTGTTGTATTATATTTGTGTAAAACAACATCCCAATGTATTGGAATCTGGTTTTGTATATGATCAGTTCTGGTGTTCTAACAAATTGCCTTTTAAAATGTTAACATTTCAGGTTGGTGCAGAGAGGAATGTGCTTATCTTTGATCTTGGGGGTGGCACCTTTGATGTGTCAATTTTGACAATTGAAGATGGAATCTTTGAGGTTAAGTCCACAGCTGGCGATACCCATCTTGGTGGGGAAGATTTTGACAACCGCATGGTCAACCACTTCATTGCGGAGTTCAAGCGCAAGTACAAGAAAGACATCAGTGACAACAAGCGAGCCGTGCGTCGTCTGCGCACAGCATGCGAGAGGGCAAAGCGCACCTTGTCTTCCAGCACTCAGGCCAGTATTGAAATTGACTCTCTGTATGAGGGAGTTGATTTCTACACCTCCATCACCAGAGCTCGCTTTGAGGAACTCAATGCTGACCTCTTCCGTGGGACCTTGGACCCCGTGGAGAAATCACTGCGTGATGCCAAGATGGACAAAGGGCTAATTCATGACATTGTCTTGGTTGGCGGCTCCACTCGCATCCCCAAAATCCAAAAGCTGCTGCAGGACTTCTTCAATGGCAAAGAGCTGAACAAAAGCATCAACCCAGATGAAGCTGTTGCCTATGGGGCCGGTAAGTGTCGTCACGTCCCTAAAAAGGCCACTTTCTGCATTGTACCTGGGATACGGTGGATATTACAACCAAACTCTGCATTTTGAATGTCTTTTTTTTTTTTTTTTTTTTTTAAAGAGGTCTTGTTAAATTTTCTGATTTTATGTCGACAGCTGTCCAGGCTGCGATCCTGTCTGGTGACAAGTCGGAGAATGTCCAGGACCTGCTGCTTCTGGATGTTACTCCCTTGTCTCTGGGTATTGAAACAGCGGGAGGCGTCATGACTGTCCTGATCAAACGTAACACCACCATTCCAACAAAGCAGACCCAGACCTTTACCACATACTCTGATAACCAGCCGGGTGTGCTCATCCAGGTCAGTGTCTAATTATAAAAATGTATCAAAGAAATTTACATTGCAGCTGGCACATATGCCTCAGTGTGACAATTGTTTATGGCAGAGAGACCACAGTGCAGGGGGACCTGGTAAAAAAAATACATCAGTGATTTTGTTCTTGGTTTAGCTTTAAAGTCGGACCGAGAGCAGAAAAATTGCATTTTTATGTTGACTGATAAAGGAAAAACAAGGAAGTTGTTCTAACATTTAAAACATGCTTGATTCAAATGCTCAGTCGGTCTCAGAAGACAGCAGTGAAGAAATAAGTTACCCTAACCAGCAGGGCTGATTAATTTTGGAAATTTTTTCATTTTATATAGCTACAATTAGTAATAAACTTGCTAAGTTCTTGTTCTTGTTGCCACCACATTAAAAGCCTGCCTGTACTGTCAATAAGAAGTGCAAGCAAATCAGGCTTGACCACTTAAACATCCATCTTTTCATGTTTTGTGATAATGTACGCATGAGTGAACTTTAAGTCGTATCTAGACACAATCTCCCTGCATAAAAAATATAAAAGCTTACCCATCTCCAGTTGAAAACAAAACTCATGCTCAAGTCTTTATATGTGTAAGTGACAAATGAAATCAACAATTGCCCAAATTGCATGTAAATAACGTGTCAAAGATAAAATATATTATGCACCATGTTTACTTTGCCTGGTCCAAGGTAATATTCTCCACTTGTTGCTGTGTGTGCGTGCTGGTACAATCTTCAGTATTAAACAGCTTGCTTCCAACCTCCCAACAGGTATATGAAGGCGAGCGTGCTATGACCAAGGACAATAACTTGTTGGGCAAGTTTGAGCTGACAGGCATTCCTCCAGCACCCCGCGGAGTTCCTCAGATTGAAGTGACGTTTGATATTGACGCAAACGGTATCATGAACGTCTCTGCAGTTGATAAGAGCACTGGCAAGGAGAACAAGATCACAATCACAAATGACAAGGGTACGGCGTTAATTTTATATTTGATAATGTGAAATGTAAAAGCACAGGAATGAATGCATTTGTATTTTGATTACATTTAGGACGTCTCAGTAAAGACGATATTGAGCGCATGGTTCGGGAAGCTGAGAAGTACAAAGAGGAGGATGATGTCCAACGTGACAAGGTGTCAGCTAAGAATGGCCTGGAATCTTACGCGTTCAACATGAAATCGACGGTGGAGGATGAAAAGCTTTCTGGCAAAATCAGTGACGATGACAAGAAAAACATCTTGGACAAATGCAATGAGGTCATCAGCTGGCTTGACAAGAACCAGGTATGTGATAAAATTTATTGCTTTAATGATAAGAAGTTAACTTTTTTTTTTTTCTTCTTAATGCATAGACTGCTGAGAAGGACGAATATGAACACCAGCAGAAGGAACTGGAGAAGGTGTGCAACCCTATCATCACAAAGCTGTACCAGAGTGCTGGCGGCATGGCAGGTGGTATGCCAGAAGGCATGCCTGGTGGATTCCCCGGTGCTGGTGGTGCCGCTCCTGGTGGTGGATCCTCTGGCCCAACCATAGAGGAAGTTGACTAAGGATTAATACCTCACAAGCTAACTATTCCTGCGTCTAAGAAGGTAGCCCTCTTGTAGCACTTTGTTCATGCTGCAGAGTGTAATTGTATTTCAAAGAGGAGGGGGGTGAAAAAAAAATAACAGGGTTCAGGTTTTGTTTCATTGTTTACGACTGGATTAAATAGCTGAAACGGACACATTGTGTTGATGGTTAAAAGTACATTGAGAATGTTGTATTTCCCTTGACAATAAAACTTGTGACCCTATTTGTCAGTCTTTATTACACTTCCCCCGTTCAAGGTATGATACACATTGTCACCTTTTTATGATAGTTTTCTTGGTGTGGCAGAAATAATATTCTGTTCTGAACCACCCACATTTTAAGAGTTTTAGCTCTGGATTATGGAGATGGACCATGATTTTATGGCAATAAATATGCCCTGGTACAGGAAAAAGGGCAAAACTGTATTGCCCAATACTTTGATAATTCTATAAACTGAGCCAGTGACAATTTTGACTGCAATTAGCCTGCCACGCGTGTTTTTGGAACATGGGAGGAACCCGGAGTACCCAGTGAATGGGGAGCACATGCTAACTCCACAGTCAGGCCGGAGCCGGAATTGAACTCGACCTCTGCACTCTGAGGTTGATGTGCTAACCACTCGCCCACCAGGCGGCCTTGATAATTGAAAAACAAAGAAGGTTCATGAAATGTTTTGACCACTCTTTCTGGGTTTGAAGGGAATTGAGAATTTTGGAAGGACAATAAGGATTAAAACAGTTCAGGACGTAATGATAAATAATATGAAAATGTTATTTTCTGATTACATCTTTTTAAACTTTAAAAATAATTACTGACATATTTAGTAAGTAAAGAATAATAGTGCACATTTCGATCATTGTTGAATGTGCTCACTTATATGTTTCATGTTTTATGAAGTTTTTATTAATTTAAAGGTTAGGGGTGCAGTAATTAGGCTGCTGTTATCTCAAACGCATTTGGCACAATTGTTTTGCAATTATTCTCAAAAGTATTTGCCGATAAAGTATTTCCCTTTTTCTGTTTGGCTGTGCCGTCTCATATTTAACGACCTTAAATTCCAGTCTGGGTGAATAATAGACCTTTTCAGAAATCCAGCGCGGATTAGCTCATACAGCACTTGGCTCGATATATTCGCGTAGTACTGTGTAGCCAATCCTATGTTGAATGGCACCCATGACAACGGCACGCAAGCATTATCATGGACAACATTCACATTACGTATACGAAGACGCCCTCTTGAGTACGTTGACGCTGCAGCGGCATTGGATGTGGCAAAGTTAAGCAAATTGTGACGAGGCCTCCTTAACTTTCTCCTTGGAGACGTACCAACAAGCATCAACTCACTAGATTAATACGTAATAATTGCTTTTGACTGCATGATGTTATTCTAGCCTATTTTTACGTCATTATGGCTACCATTAAAGCGACATACAATACGGCGAAGGCGCTGACATTTCGCTTCGACCGGGCCACACAGTTCAACAGGAGTCTGCGAAAAAAAAAATTACAAGAAAACTGAAAAGAACGTGTATCTTCATTTTAGAATTCATAATAGTTTGTGGCTCCCATGGAATCTTTAATCATCGGTTAAAATGGCTCTTAAGTTGCCGACACAATTGTAATAGAGGGTTCCGTCCTTTTCGCAATTACCCACAATGCACTGCCGGCGGCCATATTGGAGGGCTGTTATAAACAAGCCATACACGAAGTCTATTGTGAATGTTCATTCATCCAAGAATATGCCGCTGACATGTGCGATTGTCAACTGTCACAACCGAGGTGGGAGAGATAAAAAGAGTTTTTATCGCATTCCTAGGGTTACGAAAGGCCAAGGAGAGGCGGCAGAAAAGAAAAGTGAGCGACGTAGAAGACAGTGGCTTGCTGGTATCAACCGTTCTGATGTGAAAAATTACGACCAACTTCGTGTGTGTTCTGATCACTTCATATCGGGTATGTAAACAAAACTTCGTCATAGTTATAGAGTTAATGTATCAGGCAATAATAGATAATGTTAACATGAAAAACAGAGTGCTATGGCACGTATTCGGATC